TGTGGAACCGACCTTTGAATCTCTTCACCCAACACTTTCACTCGAAATGGAAGTAAGCTCAACAATTATGAAACAAGCGATTGCTCGAAACCCAACTTTTCTTCGCATTAAGATGGAGAGTTTGAGTGGCTGTATAAGCACTTATATTTAGAGTCATTATAGATCCCATGCTTATCTATTTTTCTTTATAGGCTCGACCTTAAAGCATTTTACGGCTAAGATCTTAATTTCATGTAGAGGCTTATCAGGGCTCTCAAATTAATTCGCTCCATTATTATTGGAGAGTTCCATCTCTTGCATTCCCTGCCTGGTGAACTGAGTCAATTGAGTAGTATTATCAGTAGTGATGCCTATCATAAGCTAGCCCTCATTGATACGTCAGCTCTCAGTTATCCTAAGCTAAAGCCTAGGCAATTACTTGGCAGCTAATTGCCTGGCTCATGTCGCTATCCATAAAACGACTTTAGGCAATCCGTACACAAGTGGCAAGCGAGCTTAGCATATACTAGGCCCGAGCATAAAGTATGCAAATTAGCTTTTACACTTGCTATGTCCTACTTTGTGAGTCTTAGGACTCATCACTTCTATCCGACAGTCCATGTTGTGCTCAAGTCAAGGCAGCGCCTCTGAGTGAGCCTGTTCGGCAAGCTGTTCTCGTGACGCGTCGGTGGCATCAGCGAGTGGTTGGTCGGGTGGGCAGATGAATGTACGGTCGGGCGGTCGGATGAATAGATGATCAGGTGAGCGGATGAATGGATGTTTGGGTGTAGGGATTGATGTACCGACGGATCGATATCATGAGTGTGTGAGGCTAGACCTGGCCGAACGTCTACACGGTGGATTGGCCGGCCGGACTGTCTGCCCAACCGTCCAAATGACGCCGAGGTGACTGCGTTTCGTTAACATCAGTCGAGGTGTGCTGAGTCAGGGAAAATAAGTTGGGCAGAGATACCGTGGTCGCTTGGTTGGCCTTCTCGACAGATAACCATGCCTACGCCCAAGTGTGTAGCTGTGTCCCAAAAGAGTGGAGAGCAGACTGACCGACAGGCAGACACAAGCATGGACGAAGTTGAGAGCATGAAAGTTTGACCCAGTCCATCGGGAAGACAGACATGAAGGCTTTTGCAGAGTCTGGGTAACTTTGTCCGATGGGGGTCAAGTGGAATCCAATTTATGAGCCCCAAAGTCCTGGGCAGAAGGGCACTAAACTGAGGCAGGACTGACGATATTCAGCAATAAAGGAATTTATAGCGGTGGCATAATAGCACGAGGCCTCACTGCTGTATTCTATTCTCGTGGTGGTGCCAGTGCCAGTGCCAGCGGTATTAGTTAGTCAGTCAGCCAGCCAGCCAGCCAGATTTCTTCTCGGCAGGAACTAGAGCCTGGCATTGGTAAAGCAATTCATTAGGCATTACTCATAAAATACAAAGCAGCATTTAAAGATAATTAAGACAGCTCAACTGGAAAATGGTGGTGGGGTAGTGGAGCCTACTTTACAGTTTACCTCGCACATTAACTTATTTGCCTGGAGCCTTGCTTCCCGGCTTCATTGCCATTCAATAAATTGGCGTTAGTTGTTGTTGCTTTGTCTATGACACGATGAGGTGAAGCCATTAGTACAATTTCCTCTAAGTGATAATGAGACAGAAGTGGAATATTTCTGACAATCGGCTTCTCACTGAGCCCGGGAAAATTCAGTCTAGGCTTTATATGGACAGTAGATGTGAAGACCAAGATGGTGTGGCTTTCTCTTCGGTCGCGGTCGCGGTCGCGGTTGGTTCGACCTTGTGGAACGTACCTAATCCGGTGTCATCTGCCAGCGTCGGACCATTGACTTGGTGCCCTCTCAAACGTTTGTCTAGGCATACTTTTGACATGAAATGGCATTTAATATGCTATACCTTGAAAAGAGTGATACTTGAAGAAGGCGTTAAAGACTCCACAATAATATAAAACTATTGGGAACATATTTCGCAATCTCACTTTTTGCTTATTCATTTCGATATCATAAATTTACTTTTATTGCACGAATAATGCTACTGCATAAATCCCAGATTTTTACTTTCCCACTTTTGCTTCTCTTCATAACTACCATGCCGCAGGCCTAAGTGCCAAATCCAGTTCAACTAGAGATGGCTACAACCGCTAAGGTTTCCATTGCACTAATACTTCATCAGTTACACTCACTCCTCCATCTTCATTGGCATACTCGATTAGAAGCGAAATGACTCTGCATACTTCCTACTCGCGACAGTATCTGATCAGCATGCCCTTCTTGACAGCTACCATCACAACTGATTCACGTGACCATGTGTTTAAATTATTATTCAGTACCAAAAGTGCGCAGGAAAAGTTGCCACTAGATCGCTGCAGGTCCTACCGAGGTGTGAGCCAGAGTTAAGCCATTAGGACACATTTCTGTCCACAGTGAAATATATGTCGAGCACCAAGCAAAATCAAGGTAGTCAGTGAAGGGTTGACAGCGAGCATACTATGATAGCAATATGTAGTAATATAATTTTATCACAAGATTAACATAGTAAAAAAAGTAGCAAGCCTATATCGGGAGCACTAATTGGAAGAAGCTGTTAAGAACAGCCTAAGAACCTATTTAAATATGATTTAGAGACTAATATAAAGATCATATATACTTTTGAGCTTACGGAGAAGCATACATATATATATATATATATATGCATGCTAGTGTATGTTTGCGCATCTAGTTACCTGACAAAGAAAACTTGGGATAAAAAGGCATTGTGACCAGGGCGTGGATCCAATATCATAAATGCCAAATTTCAAGAGCGGTCTGCTTCTGCAATTTTAATTAATATTCACTTAGGGGCAGAGCCTCACCGATTTGTTTGTCAAAGTCTATTCGCTCTATCTACACATGCATTCCAACACATTATGAACTCTTACACGTAAGGACAAATATGGGAGATGGGTTATTAGGGCCAGAATATGTGGTCAGATTGGCATAATTCTCCTCTCAAGACACTCAAAATAAGATGTGGTTCTGAATCATTTTGGTATATTCCATTTTAATAGTCTACAAAAGAGCAGGTGACTGATTATGCATACATTCTTCACTCTAAATACCCCTATATCCTTAGCATTGAGTATTTTTCTTAATGGCGACATATAGTTGCTTGGAAAAATACAATTTTTGTGGAAAATTATAAACCGAAAACATGGAGACTTGAGTGGCTGAGCAAAGCGACAAAAATAATAGAATCCCGATATTAATAATGCTTGGCTAAATTCACTCATCAACTAAAAGAATAATTTGGCAACCTTCGAATTATCGTTTTTGACTAAAAGAAACATTGGCCTAGAAGTAAAAGAGCCCACTAGAGGACGATTCCTTTTATAAGCAATGTTAATATAAAAGACAAGAGTTGATGTTTTAACCGTACTTAATACAGAAATCAGCCTCCAAATACGGCTATAATTTGATAAGCTTTAAGTCTATAATAAGGATGGGACCTCTTGCTGATGACATCGACCACAACGCCGACGAAACGTCTGAGGATGTACCAAGTCGAAGGATCGACACCTGAAATTTTCATGGCAGATGAGGCAGGGCTAGGTGTGCTCCACAAAGTCTTCCTTTTGCTCCGATCAAGTTGCGAAAAGGAGGCTAAGCCAGAAGTTTAAATTGGACATTTTTTTCCGAACTTAAAGCATTTATGAACTAATTGGAAAGAATTATATGCTGTTTGACTCTCGAGACTGGACAAATATTTTCGTTACATCAACGATGCTACTGATATGATAAATAACTGAAAGTGTAACTATAGTTGGAATAAGAATTGCATTGTCAGCAGCCTAACTACACCAAAGCGTTATGGTGGTTTCAAAAGACTCAATACATTAGTCTTGGCAGCTATGACTAGAATATCACCCTTATTTTTGGGGCTATGCTCAGTAGCAATTCTGCATGAGCGCCACTACCCCGGCAAATGCTACGCTCAACATGAATTAAGAAATCTATCAGTTATAGAATGCGCAAAACAATATCGTTTTTATTACAATCCTTTCAACCAACCACCTCAAAGTTGACTTTCATGCCTGCCTCGAAGACTCATTCATAGGTTGCCTCGCGATTCTAAGCTGTGGCAGAATTGCCTTCCCTTTTTTATGAGCCTTCGCTTATCACAGGACTACCTTGGTTGTATGAATACCTTTTAAGGCTGGAGAAAATCGCAAAAAGTATCCATAGAAAACTAAAAACAAAAACAAAAATGGAGATAATTGATTCGGAAACCCTAGTAACACGCAGATAAAAATGATGGGTGATGCGTTGTGTGTATTTAAAGGT